TTTACTTTTTTGCTTAGAAACAAGTACTTGTTGGTTTGATCTTTAAATTTGGCCATACTATGAAAGCTATAGATCTAATAAAACTAAACGTAATTTCTTACAATTTTATACGAATAAAGTGATAATATAATGTATTAATTTTGGGCTAACGAAGTAACGATGTACAAGAGTTTGTAAATTTGTTAATAGGTATACATGTATAATCATTCAAATGTTAAAAACATAACTATMGGTAAATTGTAAATATAAAKTTGTTTCGTAACATAGTAGTTTAAGGTATGTAATATTATATTTTTGTTTTACTTATTTAACTCTTTTCCMCATAAAAGTATAATTTTGTAATCATATATTTAAATGTTGGTACTTTAATAGTTATATACGAAAATAAGACATTAAGCTAAAAGACTAAAATGTATATATAAAATTGTATTATAAATGGTATTATAACTGTAACTTAYAACCATCTATAAGAACTTTTTTAAATGAAAGGCATCCGTATCCATCCACTTATTTTAAGCCACTTCAATCAATGGTCTTACATTCTTCCTCTTCTACTCTAAGGGTCTACCAACCAACTGCTCGTGTTTTCTATTCGGGTCATCCGTTCAGTGACAACGAATTTTTTAATTATATCATACCGTTTCAAACGAGGACTGTGAATTGGCTTTTTTCCAATTGAATTCTTTCAAATTCATAATCTATGTGCGTAAAAGGTGATTCTACCTTATGCTTAAGCACGTCGTTGTCATACGTGAGTTAAGCCCACTGTTTTGTTTCTGGAAGAACCTCTCTAACTCGTTATTTTTTCTTAATATCCACTCTTTTGTTCGTTGTCTTTATGTTTTATACATCAACTGGTCTAAAAAYCGTACTTAGGATTTTCTTTTAAACACCATCAGTTTTTCTCTTCAGTCTGCCTTAGGACTGTTTAGATAAAATATTACCTAATTATCTAAATGTATAAAACTACATCACAGCAGTAATATATGCGGTCGCAGTTCTCCGAGAATATACGTCTCAAATATACATTCTTCGGTTGTGCTGCGGCGATGTGGCATAATAATACTAAAATATACACCATACGCTATTTTATATTGTTTTCGATGATAATATTATGTTGACAGTGCCTGATCCTCCGAGAAATTTATCGATCATTAAATTATCCGCCAACAGCGTGGTCATTGCGTGGACAGCGCCTACTACGATATCGCCCGACGCAATCGACGAATACCGCTGGGCGGTCACATTCAAAAATTTTTTATACGAACCGCCGAATCACTGCGCGCCCCAAACTGTGGAACCCGTGGTCACATATTTCGTCAAAAATGACCAGACATACCAGTATAAAATTGCGAATCTAATGCCTGCTAGCTGTTACCTCGTAGAATTGAGCGCTGCAACAGAGTCCGGTCTTGGAAATTCAACAAATGTTACGATACACACGTTGTCATCAAGTAATGTTTAAATTATACCCGTAATTACTATATTGAATAATCTATCAATTATGTATTGTTATTTCACTAGATTAAAGTGTGTTTTTAAATAGAATTTCTTTTACAAATGATACACAGTAAATATAACGTTGACTACAGGTACTTACTATATTTAGGTACACGATGTACAGTGTACACACTGTAGGTATTAGGTTTAGGTAGGTATTACTATAGCCTACAGGTAAATTATATACTATCATTTATAATCAGTGGTGGAATTATAGTAAGTACCTTTAAAATATAAAGATTTAATGTAATGAAAATTGAATTTWAAAAAATCTTTAAACCACTTTTTAAATCACTGTTTTTTTCTCTTATAATAATACTAGAAAACATATTATATTTTCATTTAGCTAATTGGGGAGCCTTATAAATTTCAACTAGGTATACTTAAGATTTTTATTACATATTTAAAACACTTATATTGATGATTTTCTATCCTATATTCATATATTCCTATATGTATTCCTATATTCGTTTAAATGATTAGACAATGTAGTTTAGTTTAGTAGCCATTAAACATTTAAGCTGTACTCAACCCAAAAACAAACACAAAATCCAAGCTTTTTTCTAAATAGAATGCATCGCAATTTATTTTATTTTAATTTAGCTTGAACTTTTATTGTATTTATTTTTTAAATATTTTACAAATTGTATTGTTACAGCAAGTTCACCGGTCAAAAACCTACAAGTCACATCGAWAGAATATAATTTGGTTGTCCTAAGTTGGAAGTACCCATGCATTCCAAACGGGAAAATTGCATTTTTTCACAGTACACTCKTGGGAGAAAGACTTGGATTTCATAATCACATTTTCAGTATTAAATGCGATATTTCAGTAAGTATGATTATTTTCAATGGACACTAAGTATAAAATATAGATACGGACCGTATCATGATCCACAAATATATTATTACATTTGTTTTGAGCAGGATCGTGAATGCATGATTTATTGCGCTTATTATTTGTGGAGGGAACTAATAAATACATGTAGTAGCTAGTTTCYATTTATATTGTTTAAAATTATATTTTGCAACATGTGATTGAGCATAATATTTCCTACGCATATTAGGATTCTAACATATGTATTTCGTACGAGTATGTTAGTAATTTATACTGAAAAGATTGAAAAATCTATATAGATTTTATATTTATTTATTTTCAAAAGTTATATTTCCATTTAATGTTGATATATTTAAATGTTATCTTTAACATATGTATTCACAGTGATCCATTTCATGTAAGACACTCTTTATTTAAAAAAATACAAAATTTTTGAAATTATTTCTTTTATATCATTTTATTTAGTTATTGAGCAAAATGTTTGGAAAGGTTTTTTGCTGTTTTGAATGGCAACATACAATTTTTCAATTTTCCATGGCATATCCTAAAGTGAAATACTATTCAGACTTCAAAGCATTACCGTTATMAAATTTTGGACAAGTAGYTTATTAGTTATAACTTATAAAGTGTTATCAGTTTAAAGAAGTAGAGTAATGAACAAATAGATTTTAGGATATCCGTATATTACCGCCACTCCACTCAACTTACCTAAACTTTGAAATTTAAATATTTATAATTCATAAGTTYCAAAACTCGATTTTTTGTATCAAAGTATTCCAAAATATATTTTGCTTTTAAATATAGAATGGAAAATGCATGTGTAAATAGTCATTAAAAAAATTAAAATGATAGCTATAAGAAATAATGAAAAATATACAAAATTGTCTTAAAAAAGGACTTAAAACTATGTTTAAAAAACTATTTACAAAATAATTTTTAAATTAAAGAGTGGGTTATGGTCAATGGATCACCTGGTATTTATTTTTAATTTAAATACTTGACGTAAACAAGTTTTTAAGTACAAAATATATTTTACTAGGACAATGAAACAGAATTTGAATATAGTTTAACCCATTTATTGCCCGAATACACATACGTCTGTACGGTAGTAGCGATAACCGATTCTGTGGAGAACCCAGGTCAAGACAAACGGATTCGATTTATCACACCATCGACAAGTATAAAACATTTGATATAGTTAAATTATAATTTTAATTAGGATTTTTACGTTTATAATTTTTATTAATACTTATATTATCTATGAATGAATATGTATGTCACATACATGYCTGATGGATATTTAATATAGTGTGAATTAATGTATTCAACTTAGAATGCACATAAAAACTGGATTTTTCAAGCTCGAGGAAATATTTTAAATATCTATTATTTATAATATTATTTGGAACTTTGAGAACATTTTTGAAAATTATATTTWTATAATTTCATCTAATTTTGGTTAATAGTATTCTTAAAAAATGAGCGTAATAAAATTAATTAAATAAACAACTCCTTGCATTTCCTTTCAACAACTCAAGCATTGTAATGTGAATAATATAACAATATTATCTTAGCCCTATAATATTTTTAATTTAGGGCGAAGCGATTTATTTTTTCCTATTTTATAATGTTATAATATTATACAGGCCCGGATTTACCGAGCAAATACGATACTTACCGTAAATTACGAGTGACCGTGTCCGACAGCCATCTCACACAGGTCCATTTGTCCATACCCGGCGACTTGTTCTCGAGCACCTCCGGAAACATCCAATACTATTCGATAATCGTTTATCAGGACGGTGGATTTCCGGACAAACCAGAACACGGCAATAGGTTGAATAATCCTCGACAGCAAATGGACGACGACGTCTGGCCACCCGTCATGCGGACGTGGGCAGAGGCTGCGCCGTACCCTTTCATACTGGCGTACCAGACGACGCCCGACCGGTGGATGCCTTTCAAAGGTTAGACGCACACTGGTGTACCTATATACGTTATTTTGTGTAGTAATTAAAGTTTCACAAATGATTATACAGCAACAGCATAGATCTAACTATTGCCTAAATAGTCTTGTTCCGGCTAAATATTAAGTAGTAATAAGTACCAATTAAACAGAGAATAGAAAATATTAGAAAATAATATTTTATAATATTGCCATTATGTTTGATATTTAGACCAAAACGATGGGGTTTTCGACATCGGCGCAGAYGAATCCTGTTCCATAAATGACAAGAAAAGTTATTGCAACGGGCCGCTGAGACCAGTTACTAATTACAGGCTGAAACTCAGGGCTTTTACAGCCGGTGGCTTTCAAGATTCGTGGACCGTACCATTTACTACGCGTAAGTGATACAAGAATACATACATACGATAGGTACAACGGATAAAAAAATAATAAGCAAATATAAATTTATCTATACACAWCAACCCCAATAACATACGTAAAAATACATACGATAGGTACAACGGATAAAAAAATAATAAGCAAATATAAATTTATCCATACACAACAACCCCAATAACAATCGATTAAATAACAAAAAGCACAACATTAATTTAAAAGTAATACACTATACCTACTAACTTTACCCAGGACCTAAATTATTGACGAACTCATATATTATGCAAATGTTGTTATCTTATTATATTATCATTTGTTTGCGTATTATGGAACATATACCTACGTATAACTGCTGGTAATGTGTAAAATTAGTTAATATTGGACAAGGTCTGAAGTACCTACATACGTTACATTTTCAGGTTAGCATGCCGCTATAAATGTATGTGTTACCGGGCCGGTATATCATATAATATGGTTACTAGGGTGATAAAACCACCACAATAAGAATAAATTTAAAAACCACAATAATTGACCTGGATTTTTACACCTACAACTTGTGTATTTATTTTTATTTTTCGTGTACTGCGTTTTAGGGGGAAAACCCACCGCAGTCTATTACTTGGTGTTGTATAGTGTATTGTTCGCGGTGCTCATCACTGCTACCGGAATGTATTGTATACTCAACGAAAAAGTCCCGTGGTACGTAAAGCTACATTTTATATAATTTTGTAATAAAATATATCTAACTGTGTTTGGCCAGTGGCGTATTTAGAATTTAACAGCTGTAGGGGCAACGAGAGTTTGAACGATCTCGGCCCACTCTTTTCACAAAATTAGGTCCGACAACTTTATTATTGGTACCTATCATCATTGGAACTTTTATTGTACCTACCTATATAATATTTTATCGTGCTCCAGAAAATCCAAAATGTCTATATAATTACAATTGTATCGTGCACAAAAAAAAACTGTTGTATACGTAGATTATATGGGTTATATAGGTTGGTGACGTCTGGTTAAAAAAGACTAGACAATGTTATTAAACAATATGATTATATTGACACAGATAATATCTTACCAGTTTACCATTTRAATATGTAGTTAAAAAATTAAATGATAAAATAATCAAAAAATAGACATTGTCCTTATAACTAAATACGCCACTGTGTAAAGATTTTTAATCGAATGAAACAGGRCTGTACAGAACAGAGTGATTCACCCAATTGTGACACGCCAAGAACCCGGTTTGCTGAGTGACATGAACTTCAAACACCTGTCAGCCAAAACTCCCCAAGAAATCGAGGCCGAGTACGACCTACTAAATGTGTACTCGAAATCAAACTTTACGACAGACGTGGCTGTGATGCCCCAGAATAAGTACAAAAATCGTTACATCAACACGTTACCATGTAAGATCAGAAAACTGAGCGATTTAATTATTTCACGTACACTCACCCAGCGTGTTGGTCTTGTTATATAATATATTATACAGATGACTACAACCGAGTGATTATAAGGTCCGGCGACACCGATGACTACATAAATGCATCTTTTATCGAAGTGAGTAATCATTTTTAAAAGTCGTTATCAAAATATTATATTAGARCATATTTTAAAAATAAGCATTTTATGTATACAATATAGGTACCACACCAGTTATTATAATATTTATATTCATCATTCTTATTTCCATTYCTCCAAATGAGAAGAATCAGAATTTCCTACTATTTCATTTTAAATTGGGTTGTAGGTAGTTTAATAATTTTAAGGAATATTTTTTCGATACTTTTAATAATTCCGTCGATTAAAAGTTAAAAACACATTATATGAATTATTATTTCATTTTATCCTTATAAAATATTTTACATGATCTCCTACAATTAATAAYAATATCATTAATCTAAAATGTTTTACATTATTAAAATTATGAACTCTATGAATACCAAATGTGCATTTTATGAGATTTTGAATGCACAGTTCTAAACAAATATGAATGCATACAGCATTACCTGTTTGTTATTTATACTTATGACTTTATGAGTTATGACTATTACCTATTTATGATTAGGAGTGGAAAACATTGAATTAGGTACATAATATTAAACATATGAATTGCATATTTTTAGGATTCTAGGGGTAATCGCCAATATATAGCATGCCAAGGTCCCTTGAAAAATACTTGCGTTGATATGTGGCAAATGATTTTGGATCAAGACGTGGCTTCGATTGTTATGCTATGTCAAATCAGTGAAAAAGAAAAGGTGGAGTAAAACGTTATTCTAACAAATTTATTTATATATTAGTCGTAAACGTATTTTAATCCTGGCGATGGAGATTGACCATGGTATTTACATGAATATAATTTATATATTAAAAGTTAATAATATTGAACTGTTATAATGATTAAGTATTAAAATATAAACATGACAATAGCGAGGAGGGAGTAATTACAACACTAAACCATCCTTGGCTACGTAACTGCCATAACTGCCATCTATAATTGTATGCCACTTCACCAATATGCTTTTTTGTATAATGTATAACCAACATGGTCAAGTCCTCAAATTTTAAAGTTGTYAACTCTGACTTCTGTCCATTGGATTAAAATAATATACCATAATGACATATATAAAGTTTCACTATTATTTGTCAAACAAAGTATATCTATTGTGATTTGTATAATGTTTTGATAATAAATCGTAAGTAAAATATTCTTA